TCTCGGCTCCGGAGTTCTCACCCCTAGTAGCCAGGTAACCCCACCTCTTTTAAATCAGAACCTCCAGCCGAGATAATCACATCTCCCTGGATCCGCTCTCGGCTCCTGCCAGATAACAGCGGCACTGGACTCAGCACGCTCAGCCCCTTTCACGTGAGCGTGCGCTTCTGACTCCGTTGTGCCCCGGCCCACACCCTCCTTGTCCGGACTGAGCGGGGAAGCCAGTCTTCCACCGAGTCTCCCGCCGCTTCTGCCCTTCCCGTTCTTCTCCATCCGCCTCCACCCTTCTGCCATCCGCAGTCCGCGCCTCAGTTCCTTCTGCCACTTTCTGTGCTCGCCGGTCCTCCCGCCCGCAGCGCTAGGAAACCTTCCCCCTTGCCTCCATGTTTGTCTCTCTTGCCGCTGCTCGAGAACCAGCAGTGACTGCTCCTTAATGCACATGCAGCATTAACACAGCCGCCTAGCAGTCAGCGTGCAGGGGATCCTTGGGCCCACATCCTGACTTCGTGCAATGCCCTCATCCTTATCAGGCCAGGCCTGTTTCGGCTGGGCAATCTGTTCTAGATGGACCACTCATTCACAAGCGTTTAGTGTGTGCCAAAAGTGACCCAGAGTGTGTCCACCCTCCAGAAGTGCCCTGTGCAGTGTTGAAAGGAAGTTCAACACCACACATGGGCTGATGTCCAGGATCTCTGTGATGACTGGAGGAATACTGGAGGTCCTGGGCAAGGAGTCCAAGAAGCTGAGCATTTGTTCTCCAGCCTCTGCTGTGCAAAAGATGAGAGAATACAGTAGTAGGAAATCGCCCATCCCATCTGCTGTACAGTGCTTTGCTTTTATTTGTAGCACTTATTACTTTCTAATGTTTACTTATGCAATCCATTTGTTAATTGCTTGCCTACTTAACCAGAATGCAAAAGCCACCCATGAAGCAAGAATATTCACAGTTACACCTCCTAGAAACTATACCGGGGACATACCAAAACTCAATTCAAATGTGTTTGTTGAATCAATTCAGCCAACAGAAAGTGGCTTTCTGATGTGTTGTGAAGTGGTATTTCACAAGTCTGTGTTCCACTGCTGTAGGAAAATACTTGATGCCGAGTCATGTACAAAGAAGAGAAGGTTATTTGTCTCACAGTTCTCAAGGCCCAGGAACAGAGAGCTGGCTTCCGCTTGGCTCTCCGTGATCCCATTCATGGCAGATGGGATCACAATGACAGGAATACAGGAGCAATCACATGGCAGAACGGGAAGCTGGACGCCAAGGACAGCCCGGTCCTACTCTTTTGTAACAAGTTGCTCTTGCAAGACGTAACCCCCTTCGTGAGACCGGCCTTAGTCCTTCTGGGGCGATGCCCTCAGGGCCCTAATTCCCTCCCACTGGGCCCCACTTCTTAAAGGTCTCACTGTCTCAGGGCTTGGAGAGAGGAGCTCAGCACCGGGGCCCCGGGCCTGAGGGGATGAAAGGAGAGCATGTGGGAAAGGCCCCACCTGAGCAGGGCGTCAAGGAAGTCTTTCAGGCACAGGCGCAGGAGGACACTTCTAGCAGAGGGCCCAGCGGCCTGAGGGGCTCGGCTTCTCCCGCACAGGTGAGCTCAGCCCCTCAAGGCCAGGCAGGAGGCGCTCTTTCTGAAGTGCTCTTGCCCCCACAGCTGTCTGTCAGCTTCTGTCTCCGCCCCGTAGTCCTCTGACAGCAAACCCTTTCCCAGCACCGCAGGGCTGACTGTCCCCCCTGAGCGCTCTAGAACCTGCACCCTAGGGGCCGAGTTGAGCTTCCTGTCGCTGTTAGCTGCCGTCAGAAGGTTCAGGTTGCAGGAGCCCTCCCAGGTCGTCTTCCGGTCTCCTTGACACATGAGCCCTTCCGCAGTGAGACTGTCACACTGCTCACACACAGGGGCGGTGCCTTCACTTTTACTGTAGATGTTTCTCCGCCTAGGCATTGGCCCGGATTATGACTTCACACCCTTTCTGCTGACACTTGCCACTCAGCAATGCCATTTCTTTCTTAATTTACAACCAGCAGAGGTCTTCTGAAGCTCAGAATTGAGACTAGATTGCTGTGAGAACTTCGCAGTATGTTGTTATATTGGAACAAGCCTGAGCCACTCTAGGATCCATTCCTAGGCCTCTGCCCTGTTGGTGCTTAGCAGTCCCTCGGCTTCCCAGAACATTTCCTTCTCTACTGCTTTTCATCCTCTGTCAGTGACCCGTTGTGATGGCTGTGTCTGCATGTCTCCACAAAGCCTCAGGTGGGGTTTTTCAGAGGTGGCGGGGTGCAGAGTGTGTGACGCTGGGATTGATTCACATGCCTTGCTGGGATCAAGGGCTCTAAGAGTAAAGGTAAGAGTTCTACCTGCCCTCAGTAGTCTAGATAAGATGAAAGGGACCGAAAAATGCCGAGAAGATTCCTTGTTGCTTTTGCTACCTTCCACCCCCCATGAACTTTGGCCCTCTGTATGTGCCACCCTCCTTTGGAGCCCGCTGAGTATGCACTGAACCTTCTACAAACTGTGAGCCAAGTAGACCTTTCCCCTTTAACTGTGGGTGTCGGGTATTTTTCTCAGCAGTGAGGAAGGTAACCAACACACCAGTCCACCTATGCGGAGTGCCAAACTGCCTTTAGTCCTGAGCAGGGGTTCCTGTTGCCCTGGGGGGATGTCCCTCCCCTGCGGGGCCTGAATTCCCGAGCCAGCTGCCCGGGGGCTGCTGTGAGGAGGGGGCTGAAGCCCCGCTCAGCTGTGGGGGTGGCTTTGATGTCCTCGGGCAGCGGGATGAGGCATACGGCATCTTCCCACTCCGTGCGCGCCAACCTGGACAGGAAGGGACGTGCGTCAGCACCGCTTCTTTACTGGGCCACCGTTCTCACTGCTTTTCCAGCTTTCCTTTCCCTGCTGTTTTCTCCTTTCTCCTTCCTTCTAGGCCTTTAAGTGTAGCCCCCAGCCCGACCTCATCCGCATCCTAGCGGCACAGGTCTTCTCACAACCTGCGGAGAGTTTACGCCTCTATGGCCTACATTCCACTGTGAGCTTGTCAGTGCAGCTGTCTCATTCACTCCAATTCCACCCAGCCCGATGGACACTGAGCGCGCTGGCCACGCCCGGCAGCTGACTGGACGCCGAGTGCCCTCCTGCCCCGGTGCTGTGCTCGGCCTTGTAGTCATGTAGCTGCACATGCTTTCCACAGACAGTATGAAAGACCCAGACACCTGCCTGGGTTTGAAACTCACGCCTGTCCCCCACTGGCTGCACAGCTGCCTGGGTCCTCCTCCTCCCATTTCCTTGTGTATAAAACGCAGATAGTCTCTGCTTATGAGCATTAGCAAGAGTCGGTGTGGATCACACACAAATCTAAAATCCACTAATTAATTGATGTGTATTTTCCCCTCCTTCCTAATTGGCTGTATAGATTCTTCACGTATTTTTGTCTGACCTAGAATTTGGACGGCTGGTGTCTTACTGGTTAGGATGGGCTAATAACAACCCCCAGAACCTCAGCATAGTCATCTGTCACTCTTCATGGGAGTTGGCCTCAGAATCCCCAGGGTGCCAAAACCCTCCAAGGCCCAAGTGAGCCCCTTGTATAGTATGGTGTAGTGTTTCCATACAGCCAAAATCCCTCCTCCTGTGTACTTCAGATTGTCTCCAGATTACTGTCATAACTAAGCCTAATCTTTCTCCTCGATATTATTTAAATTTGAACTGTCTCACTGTGTTCACGCTGTGCCTATTTTCCTAATCGTGGGTGTTTGTTGATGTCCTGTTATGTTAAAAATTCAACATTTCAGTCTGAGCTCTGGATTGACCCGTCTAGGTTCAAGGAATGGTTCTGCCACGAACTCTCTGTGTGGTCTTGGACAAGTTACCCCTCTCCCTACACCTCCTTTTTCTTGTCTATGTCATGGGAAGGTAATAACACCTGCTTTATAAGACCGTTCTGCGGGTTAAATGAACTAATACCTATAGAGTACTTGGACTAGTATCCGGAACATAGTGAATGGTCAAGAAATGTTACTGTCACCAACATTTTTAGGCACGGTGGAGAAATACAAAGGAAGTCTGATGCAGCCTGCAGTTTTTCTGTGTCATTTGCTGTGCCACATGACAGGTGCTTAGTAAATATTTGCTGAGCTGATCAATGCATGGGCTCTGCCCTTGCAGAATTTGAAAGTCAGCATAACCTTGGTTGCTTTCTTGGAAAAATAGGAACCCATCCTTCCCTCGAAGCTACTTTGACCAACTGTAAATATATGGGCTCCAGAAAGAGGCAGCCGCTCGCCTCTGTGTGGGTCTGCATTCCCCGTCCTCGCCAGCTCACTTTCAAACAAATTCTGGCAGCCGTGCCAGTCATGGGTGGCACTAACTTCTCCGTCTTCACAGCCACAGTTGGTGACTCTGGCACGACAGTATCAAGGCCCGTGCAGCAGAAGCTGGTAAGGACAAAGCCATGGGCACATGCCAGCTTCCGCCTGTGGAAATTTGGGTGACTGTCACATTGCTTAATGCTGCATTTTGCCTCGCTTGGTTTCATGTTCTATCTTTCTTTCGGGATGGGCTGGGGAGACACTGACGGTCCTGGGCATGTGACGTTCAGAGTGGCGCGCTCTCTGCAGCAGCCACTTCCAGAGGGCCGGCCGCTTTCCCAGCCGACACATCCTACGCCGTCCACTCACCTGCACGAGAAGATAGCTGGGCTCATGGAGGCGCTTCCTCTGGCAGCCTTCCCTCTCCTCCTCGCAGCCCTTCTTCTATAGACTGTATAGGGCACCTCGTGATCATCTCGCCAACCTCTGAGCTCCTCCGGGTCCCTTTCTCCTGGGCTAGCCGCTTAGTCTCGTGCTCCCCAAGAACTCCTGGAGCCTGTCATACCTCAGGTCTATATGCCTCTGTGCTTGCAGCCCGTCTGCCCAGGTACCTGCAGTGTTTGCCTACTCATTTCAAAAAGGCCTCTGCCAAAACTCTGCCTCTTCCAAGAGGTCTTTTTTGCCTGTATCTAAAATAATTTCTACATCCATTTTTCGTCTGGTACTTGTTTGCAATGACATTTATTTGGGGTGTGTGTGTGTGTGTGTGTGTGTGTGTGTGTGTGTGTGTGTGTGTCTTTACCCGTATGCATCCGTTTTTCCTCCCTATAATATTGACTCTCAGAATACAGACACTATGCCTTTAGTACCTAGCATGTAGTTAGCACTCAGTAACTAGGTACTGAAAGGAAGGGAGATCACTTGAAATTATTTTAGATACAGCCAAGAAAGGCCTCTTGGGAGAGGTAACATTTTGGCAGAGACCTCTTTGAAAGGAGTAGGCAAACACTGCAGACACCTAGGCAGATGGGCTGCAAGCACAGAGGCATACAGACCCTGAGGTAAGAATAGGCTTCAGGAGTAAATAAATGGAAGTCAGTTTACAGTACAAGAGTGAGAAATGATGGGACAGAGAATACATAGAAGCTGTGGGAGGCAAGGTGATAAAGGAGGGACTGAGACCTGGGAAGCCAGGATCTGCAAAGGCAGCATCTGTGAATACTGATGAGCAGCGAGCGGAGTGCTCTCGGCCAGCTTCCCGAGTCAGACCTGGAAGGAAGAGAGCGGGGAGGTCAGCGCGGGCTGCGGTGTCACAGGAGGCTGGGCGGGGCACGGGGTGGTGGACGTGACTCAGGTGAGCGGACAGACTGGACAGGCGCACGGGGTAGAGAGGAGGTGTTGCGGGGCCTCACCAAGATACTCGTGGACTTTGAGCGGTGGTCACGTCAGACTGTAGCTGACCCCATGAAGTACAAAGAGGAGTGTGCCTGACTCCACCCCTTAGAGGCAGAGTGTTTCTCTGTCAGGTTTTCTTTCCCTGGAAGTAGACTCTGCTGTTCACCAGGCTCAGGGTTATGGAGACACTGAAGTCTGCCTTGAAGAGCGAGAAATGAAACCGACAGAGCTGTGGCAACCAGGATGTTGGTTTGCAGACAGTCAGCCCAGGTTTTCAGGAAGAATCACACCGCCCAGGCCAGTCCTCTCCCCGTCAACCACGAGAGGGATGTTCTGTTACTCTGGAAAAAAGAAAGAAGTGAGATGAATGTGTACCGCTCTTCAGAACCGGAATACTTTATTGTTTTACTGAACAATGGAAAATTACATGCTTACTGCAGTCAAAGGGGCAGAAGAACATAAATTAGAAAATAGAGGCCCCCCGAGTTCCAGACAGAACGCCCTTTAAGAGACAGCTGCTTCATCCACTCTACTGAACAGCCCCCATGTGCCAAGCACAACACTACTTTAGTGTGTGTGCTGCTGAAGCAAGCACACAAGCACTATTACTACATCCGCAATTTTAAAAAAGCTCTTTGTCCTCCCTGGGCTTACATTCTACCACTATCCTGTACTGTATAGTAGCTACTAGCTGTATGTGGCCATTTAAATTAATTAAAATTAAATAAAATTGAAAATTTAGATCCCCAGTCCACCAGCCAGCCACATTTCATGTGCTCAATACCCGTATGTAGCTCATGGCTGCTGTATTAGGCAACACACATGTAGAATATTTCCATCATTTCAGGAAGTCATATTGGGTAATGATGTTGTAAAAGAATGACTTTTAACAGCTTGTACTAAACTGTTCTGTACGTGTATACACAAATATATACATTAATTTATATATGTAGGTATATATGTGATATACCATGGATGATAAAAATAGTGTGTTTACATTTTTTTGTTTTAGTTTTTTAAGAGAGGGTCTTGCTATGTAGTTTAGGCTAGTCCCGAACTCAGCACAGTTCTCCTGCCTGAGCTTCCTGAGGGCTAGGGTTACAGGCCTGCACCACCATGCCCAGCTCAGTGTGTTTAAATTTTTTTAAAATTATCACAGTAGGGCCAGGGATGTAGCTCAGTGGCACGGCATCTGCCTGGCAAGTTCGAGGCCCTGAGTTCTATTCCTGGTGCCAAAAAAAAAGAAAAGAAAAAACAAATATATATATATATATATATATATATATATATATATATATCACAGTAAAAGACACATTCCATCACTCCCCCTCAAATACCCTCACTTCAAACACACTTATCCTATCACTTCTGCCACTTTTCTGAAGCAGTTCTGGAATTTCTTTGTGTCTTCATAAGGTATGATTATATATATATACTTGTATATATATAGACACACACATATATATACATATATATGCAGAGAGAGAGAGAACGTTGCTGCCACGTGCCGTCCGATAAAAAGGCAAACGTGTAAAGACGTTAGGGTGTGTTCTCATCTCCCTTATTTACAAGGTCTAGCACCATGCGACTTGTGATTCTTCTCCACAGTCAAATGACCACCAAAGGTGAACGTGTTAAACTGGCCCAGGACGGTGAGACAGCGGTGACAGCACATCAAGATACTTGTGAGAGAAGCCGTCCAGGGCGCTTCCCGTAGTGGCAAGAATGACTAAGGGGCTAAGTGTGCTCAAAGTGAGGAGGACTATTTTGAGGGGGTTAATGGCAATGGGACTTGTATTTCTTAATTTAAACTTTGGTCATATTTGCACCACACTCCTTATGTACTATAGCACATCTGCTATGCATGCTGCTCAGCCACCTCCCCTTAGCAGTTAATACAGCAAGGGCGTCTGCTTTTATTGATCAGTGATAGGTCGGCACATTCATTGCTTTCTTTCTGTTAATGGGTGTTTCATTCCAGTTTTTCACGGTTGTAAACAGTGTTACTCTGAGCACCTTTGGCACTCCCGCCCTCGCACACCTCCCCAAGCCTTTCTTCACCTGGACGCCTGAGGACGGTGCCGTGACGCGGACAGTGTGTGGAGCTCGCAGAGTGCTCAGCACGCACTGATCGTGTCCGCCTGAGGAGGCCTGCAGAACCCTAGAGCTGCATTGCGAGTTCTGCGGCCTCCAGAGCTTCATGGCTTGATGCTGAGGTTTTCAGTTGCTTTTGGAAGTGTAGCTCCCTGAAGCCACAGCCAGCTATTTCCGTGGAGGGCTGTTTAGTTTTGCTTGTTTTCCAGAGTAATGACCTGTTCTGAATCTGGCCACATGTTACATTTATTGACCACCTCTGGGTGCCTGGCCTTGCATGAGGCACCACACCATTCATTACAGGTCTGAGACCTGTCCCACTTTATGAGCTCACAATGCAACCATTGAGACAACTGGATGGGGAGGCGGGGGGTGGGTACAGGCCTCTTCGTTAAGCCTGCAGCGAAGCTATGGGCACAGTTTTGCACTGGGAGGGAAGCAAGTGCTTGGTGCAGAAATAAAGGCAGTTGTATGCTGGTGTGCGATGAGAATGCAAGTGTTACCAACCTGGACCACTAGGTTGACTGTTTTCTCTCTTTAGTAAAGGCCCAAAAGAAATGCTAACAATTAGGAGTCTGTTTCTAAATTAACTCTGACCCTGTGCCTTTGTGCTTTTTCAAGGACTTGAGGGGTGGAATCCTTGCTGAGCTGTCCGTGTACCTTCTGCCCTCAGATCAGAGCTTGCTCCAGGCCCCGGCTTCATTTTGGGTTTTTTTTTTTGGTCCTGGGAATCGAACTCAGGAGCTTGCACTTGCCAGGCAGGTGCTTGTGCTGCTGAGCTACATCCCCGGCCCAGGCCCCTGCTTCTGTAGCATCTCATCCCATGCTGCAGGAGGAGAGTGCTCTACCCCAGCCCACTCAGAGCCAACCTTCATGACATGGGGTGGATGTAGGGTAACCGTGAAACAGCTGTAGGCTTAAAAATGTCCCTGCTTAGAAGCAGGTGAAAGACTAGATACCGGACATCTTCGTGGTTATTTATTTTTGAGGACAGATTGTAAATCACCTGTTGTCTTATTTTTCTCATTGCTGAGACAAAATACCCAATACCCCAAGTTAAGGTAGGAAAGGTTTACATATTTGGCTCACAGTTTGTAGAGGTTTCAGTCTAGAGTCGGCTGGCTCCAAGGCAGGGTGGCATGGCAGAGGGCATCGCAGAGGAGAAACAGTTCATGGTGGGCAGAAGGCAGAAAAGCAGACCAGGGGCCTTCCCACTTTCTCTGCTCCTTTTATACTCTATCTGGGCCACCAAGATTAGGGCAGTGCCAAAGTCAGTGGACTGATTTAGTAATCACACAGCCTTAACCCCAGGATCACACCCTCTAGATTCAGCCACCCTGACAAAGGCCCACACATGACTGAACGAGGCTTTCGGGAAGGAATATCTAGACGCAGCCGTAACACCTATAGACAGTACGCTTTATCTCAGTAAGCTCCCCCAGAATTTGAAGGAAGTAGCTGTGGAGGAGCCCACGTCTGGACGGGCGCTAGGCCGGGTAAGCAGCACCTCAAAGGCTGCAGGCAGCCATCCTCTCCAGCCTGCAGGGAGCCTCAGTCAGTCCTCAGGGCCAGGGGGGCAGGGGGGGCTTTCTCTCCCGCCCGCTGAGTCCTAACTCCCGGCGCAGTAAGACTCACTTGCACTTTCAGCCGAGCCTTGGGAGAGACAGGCGCTTGCCCATACCGTTTTCCAGTTTCTCTGTCCTTACTTCCAGGACCCACCCTCAAGGCTGTCTCTCCCCAGAAGGAAGAAGAATGGCGATATTTTTACCCTTCTCTTTCTTGCCACAGGCCCATTGGCAGCTCTTGCTGACTGCGTCCATAATTCTCTGAATTAGGCATGGCTAACCCGCACGCTAACCCATGCTGCCTCCAAAAGAAAATACAGAAAAGTGATAGATAAGGGCCTCATTTAGTGGCAGCTTAAATTTCAGGAACAGCAATGCTGGCTTGGGTCAGTGGAGATTTACAACAACAGGTGCAGGGGAGTCTCAGTGCGCGGGCAGTGATTTGTGTGTGTCGGGGGAGGGGAGCGGCAGGGGCCTCATTTGATCTGTCTGCTACTGGAAGAAAAATAAACTCCATTTGCTCTTCTATTCTTTTAAGAAACAAAGGGGATGAAAGAAACTTTAGGCCAGTAAGCTCCCCTTTTATTCTTCCCTTTCTCTCAACTAGATCAGAAAGTGATTCCATGTTATTAACCACCTTGCCTTCCACAAAAATACAGGGAGGGAGACTGCCGTCCTTGTGTGCGGACAGAATGTCAGGATGAGAATCTCAGTGAAGGTGGAGCTCAGGCAGCACAAAGGAGAGGTTTTAAAGAAGTCTTCTGACAGTGCAAACAAGAGGCTGGGGAGCCAGACAATCGTTTGAAAGGGTTTTAAATATGTCACTATTTGAAGTTCTGATTTCATGCTTCTCAACAAGCGCACCATTGGTAACGCAGGTTCTGTCGCACAAGCAGATGAGCGTAACTCTGAGAGATTATTTACTGTCACCTAGATAAGAATTTTCCAGTGGCACATCACAGCCAGAAACGACACTATGTTGTCCCCGTATTCCTTACTGCAATGTCATGGGAATTTCTAAAATAAAGTACAACTTTATTTCTCTTTAAAAGAAATCCTCATGTGCAGTGGGCAGCCAGACTGGAGCTGGACCAAGATTCAGAACAGAGCCGAAGTGATGTGCTTCGCCGTGTTCTCCAGAGCTTCCTTCCTGGCCTGTTCCTCCAGGAAGCCTGCCAGGTGTCTTCTGACGGGAGCACCGTGCCTCTGCTGCAGCTGTACCAGATCAAAACTCCCATCCCCTCTCACACATGCACGTCAAAGGTTTTGAAAATAACCAGATCTGGGGAGCCTCTCAAGTCAGCTCAGCATTACCAAACCATTCTGAGCTCTTCAGAACAACCAGAAATGTCAACACATTTTGAAGGGGGACTTATCATGGTATAAATGGTGAGTTTGTAATAGAATTGATTCCACACAATGAAAACAACTGACCTTTTAGGAAGCTCTCAGAGTGAGATCTGCTAGGTTGCGATCTCTGTGATCTCTGGTGGAAGCCCACGAGCAGTCTTCTTGCAAACGGCAAGGTCTGTGACCTCAAACTCTAGCTTAAGTGGCCGTATGGGTATCCTCCCCACAGCAGATTTCTTGACTGAGAAAGAGAGCCAAAGTCAGAGTGACATGAAAGAGATCTAATTTTCCCATGGTGATAACCTAATCATAGAAGATTATGTGACTGATCAAAAATTTGATGCCTATCTTAAAAAAAAAAAAATAGCCTCTGCAGTGCATACATCTATAGCTCCTCAGGAGGCTAAGGCAGGAGAGCTGCAGTTGGAGGCCAGTCTGGGCAGCTTAGTGAAATTCTGTCTCAAAATAAAAAATAAAAAGGGTTGGGGATGTAGCTCAGGGATGGAGTACTTGCCTAGCACATGGAAGGACTTGGGTTCAGTTCTCAGCAGCGCGCGCGCACACACACACACACACACACACACACTAAAAGAGGAAATATCCTCAAACACTGTTACTTCAGTTACTTGAAGGTGAACTTCAGTATCTCATTGTCTACAGTGTATTTAGATTGATTTAATAGACAACATAAGCACCACACAGAATCACAAGAATTAGTACGATACAGTATCACATTGCTCACAACGCTCTCAGTGCTCGCCTTATTTAGCCACATAAAAGCCTAAGGTGAACCACTCACTGTACAGCTGCAGTACTCAAAAGAGCCATTTTGGAGAGATTTCTCAGGCATCCTAGAGGAAATTTCTACAAACGTGGAGGTTGCTTTGTGGCTTTGTAATGGTGTCAGGTCATCTGTTTTGCTGCATCCTTCATGCTCCCCGAGGCAGCAGAGGATCAGGGCGGTTGGTCCTGCTGCTGGGTCCCTGGCCAAGGTTCTGCCTTCGGTACCTCTCTGACAGCTTGAGCTTGTGCCCTCCAAGCAGAGCCACCTCTACAAGCGTGAAGTTCCACGCGGTGTTCCTTACACTCTTCCTTCCTTAGGCTTCCCCTCCGTAGGACTTCTCCTAGCAAGCCCCAGGGCTCAGGCTGGAATTCGGGGCAGCTTCCTGGAAGTGTCACTCTCTGCTAAAGGTGTAAGTCTTCCCAGGTCCACCACCCACCCCAGGCCTGCCGGATAGCAGTGGATTTCAGCTGTCATTGGCATCTTTAATCAGCTATTTTAAACAGCTGAAATTGCTAAAGGGCTTAAACAGTAATGGGACTGGTTTTTGTTATTTTTTTAAAGATGATAACAGGAACATATAAAAGAGTGTATGATGTATATATGTTAGAAATATGTATGTTAAATATATAGGTATATATATATATACTTATTGCTGAGAATAGATACGTATATGTTAGAAAGCCTAATTATATAATAAACGCCCAGGAACCAAGGCCTGTGTAGCTCCTCTCCTCACCCATCTCCCACGCCAGCCCTGTCCAGAAGTAGCTGCTTCAAAAGTTTACCACCGTCTTCCTGAACAGTGCGTCGCCTGTGGACGCACACGCAGCCGCGCCCAGTGAGCTGTGCGTGCTGAACGGACACGGAGCTCGTCGGTCGGGCGAGGCTGCTCTTCTCTAGCCGCCTTTTCGGGAGACGACCCACTCCCCTGGTGGGCTGCAGTTACTCAGAACCAGCTGGGAGCTCTTTGTTTGAAATTTCCTGCTGAGGTAGTTTATAATCTGCTCCAGAAGTCAGTGCTGTTACTTCACAGCATACTTGTTCTGATTCAGAGCATCGCTATAGCCTCCATTTCCCCCATTCATTTGTCTGAGGAATGCTTGGTGGGTGTCTTCTGTGGCTCAGGCACTGTACGAGGGATCAGCAGCACGTCAAAGCGAGTCCGCAGTCCCCGCCCCTGCTAGAACTTTCCCCAGGCCTCCTGGCCTCTCCCTCCTTCCTCTCGAGCACTGACCGAAAGCTGCAGGCCGAGATCCCAAGACACCGAGCAGAATTCAGCAAAGCAAGGGGGCTGTCAGGGCAGGAGCCAGGGCGAGAGCTATGGAGGGGCTCCCGGAAGCAGTGAGCCTCTGTGAGGGCCGCCTTGGCTGGGGCCTTTTCGGCCCTCGTGCTTTATTTCTGCCTTGGATTTTGTCAGGCCGCTTCACCCCTCATCCAAGCATGTTTTCATCATCCTTAGGTCAGCACCCGCTGGGACCCCTGCCGTATGGGACGGCTCAAGGACTGTGCATTGAGGGTGGAATCGGCCTGTAGGACTTGAAGTCTGACAGCATAGATTATAATTTTTTTATATGAAA